TCTTCCATTTCCGAAAGAATAACTTCCTGTATTGAATGATAAAAAAATTATAAAAACAAAAAAGAAGAATTTATAATTTATTTTAAAATGCTTTTTTTGAAGTATATAAGTTTTTTGCTGCCAGTACATTTCAACATTCCCAATCAGCATCTAATTACTTTTTTTACATCGACAAGGCGAAGGAATGCGTCTTTTCCCAGCCCTAGGGCATCAGTTAAACGTTCCAAATTTAAAATTAGCATTAAGCATTTCCTTTCTAATCTTTATTGTTTTCAATTAAGCGGACCGTGGGTCCATTATTTTAAATTAAAACAATCCGCGTCTAGTAATAAGACATAGCTAACGATCGTTAGTGCTTCCAATCAATTTCACGTTACGTGAACAGCAATTAAAGTATGTTTTTTCGGTAATTACCGAGTGGTACGTGCAACAAACGAGCGGGTATCAATCAAAACGAGTAATACACATTTATATGGCGGTGACTGTACCTGGGTACCTATTTTGACTTGATGTGGTAGGCTACTGTGTATTAAGATAATTACTCTTTATACATAATATGGTGGTGTATTAATATGCGGAGTTTCTTTGCATGACAGAATCCGAAATGAAGATATCCGCAAAAGAACCGAAGTGACCGACATAGCCCGAATGATAAGCATGCTGAAGTGGCAATGAGCTGGTCACATATCTCGAAGAACCGACGACCGATGGGGAAAAAAGGTTCTTAAGTTGCGACCCCTTACAAGCAAATGCACTGAAAGACAACCTCGCACTAGATGGAGTGACTACATTAAAGACATTGCAGGGAGTCAGTGGATGCAAGTAGCTCAGGATTGTTCTCTATGACAGTCTATGGAGGGAGGCCTATGTTCAGCAGTGGACTGATAATGGCTGAGATGATGATGCTGATGATGAGTATATATTGTTCATTTACTACCTGATTCCCCAATTTAAATATATGCCAATGCTCTATATAGATGCTTAAATATAAATATACAAAAAGTATTATTATCCAGTAATGATAATAGCAATATAATTTCCATCAAAAATTATCCTGTACACAGCGCAAAGCCGCGGGCGTACGCTATATTTCCACAAGTTATTTCTGCATACACACTTCAAGCCATGATTGGTGTACGATTGCCATTGTATTTAACTTATTAAGTTATTAAAGTAATGCTTATAATCATACAGAAAATTATCAGCCTCATACCGTACGAAGGCTTGTATCATTGACGTTAAGACACTAGCTAATTGTCCTGATGTCCTGGTAACTTGACCACTGGGTGCGAGATGTTTTGAAGAGATTTAAAAGAAAAAAAAACACAGGAATATCATTATATAGCTGATAAGTCAAGAAATGAATTAAAGGGTGTGGTTGTTCGAATTAAATTAACCCAAAGGAGGTGGAAGCTGTTAGGGGAGGTTTTTGTCTAGTAGTGTAACACCACAGGCTGTAATTGATGATGATGGTGAAGCACCCAAAATAAGTGATTTACATGACCGTTTCTTTGAAATATTTTGGGTGCGAACTTTTCTGTGATGTTCACGAATATTTTACGTAAATTCTTTGGATATGGAAAATATTATTCGGCAATCAATGGCTATTTTAATTGCCGTGTGGTCCTGGCATAGAATTCACCGCCTCTTTCCTTTCCCGTGGATATCGTAGAAGGCGACTAAGGAAACTTAACAGCCAAAGGATGGATAGCAGCATCGCTCTTAAAACATCACCAAAAAATTGTTGCGTTGACAACTGCAGTTAACTGCAGTTGTCAACGCAACTGTTAAGCGTAGCAACTACTGGCAAAACCCATCTTATGGAGGAGGCGTCTGTTCAGCATTGAATAGTTAATGGCTGATGTGATTGAATAAGTAATTAAACATTTAATGTCAAAAGAGGCTAAAGTAAATATCTCAAATATTAATTAGTGATTAATTAACGTTTACATAATTGTAAGGAAATATTAAAGGAATTTAATCGGCTCGAAAAAATATTAATTCCAAAGATTTGAAATCTTTGCTCGAATCTCGTATCGGCCGATCGTGATTAAAAAAGTAACAGTACTCCTTAATGCATCATCAGCGTAACTATCTAGTCCGAGTCAGATTTCCTCATCGACAAGCGGGCCCATTACCATCGACAAGGGCCATAAGGCAGGTGGCGGGGTACGTGTGCGCGCGCATAATGGCACATTGGCGTGCGCGCAGCCTCATTAGCGCGCGAACACTTCCAAAACATTACAGGCACTACCGCGTTAGAACGCGAATTTTGACTAGAACTTTATTTACATTCCCAAATTAAATATGGAACGCGTTAGAATGAGAATTTTGATTAGAACTATTTATTGATACTCCTAATTTGAATTAGGAAGTACCATAATGTTCTTTTTAACGGGCTTCAAAAGTACTGTGTTTTGTTTGGAATTGTGCAAAGGAACATGGTCGTGCAATAACTTCTGAATTTTGAGTTTCAATTTATATGATTTTTATTATTAAGTATAAATACTTAAATGGAATAGATTTATACTTCAGTATTGGTCCTTTATTAATTATATCAAGTTGTTCGTTTATACTAGCTCATTAAAAAATAAGAATATATAGTTCTAGTTCATAGATTTGTTGCAAAACTGAAAATGTCAACTTGAGAAATGTCATTTGCATGTGTTAGCTCGTTTTAGAATCGAGTTCGAATTTCGAATGTATAAATTAAAAAAAGAACTATTTGTGGCTAAACTTAATCATGCAGTTCTAGTAATCTGACCAAGATCAAGACGATCCTGAGTTAACCAAACCACATACATTTTAATACAAAATTCAATTAATTATAATTGGATGATTGGTACTGAGTGAACTATGGGTAATTCCATCTGTGTTCTAGTAAACGTTAATTAAAACAGTCAGTTTAAACAATTGCCGTGGGTAGTTTCGGTCGGGTTCCCCCAGCCCCCAGCTGCTGGTGTCACACATGATCGAGCACTCTGCGTGTAATGTGTTCTGTGACTCTACTAAGTTACATATCAGGCTGATCATACATTGCGCGTCTAAAATCGTGCTCGAGAAATCGTTGCACGAATTTTCAAAGTGTTTGTAACGTCAAGAGATTTGTTTCACACTGTGTACGGAGTTGAAGGTTGAGATATTGCTGTAAAATTTCTAAGTATTTTGACCCAAAAGTTTGGGCTGCAAGGGTCAGTTACGAAGGTACTTTGACAGCGAAGCTGTAAGTCTATATGGATTCCAGTAGCCGCATACTATCATGCTAACTTGTAAACTTTATTATATATACCTACACATAGTGGATGCAAAGGTCGTACAGGGCACATATATTATTTATAGTTTTTATATTATTATTTACCAAATTTGAAATTGACGTGCATCTCTACTGTTTACTTTTGGCTTCCTTTCACGGATCCAGTTTTCTAAGTTCCTTTCGCCAATGATCGCTGGCATAGAATAAGCCTATAATTTCACGGTAGAAATACGAGTATGGGCAGCAGCGTCCCTCTTTAAACATCTCCAAAACCTATCTGCCGTGGCTAATCCTCCTGCCAAGCGTGACCACTACTGGCGAAATCCCCCAAGGGGAGGTCTATCATCAACAATGGTCAGTTAAAGGCCGATATGATGATGATGATTATTTAGTTCTACAACTTACCATATTAGCCATTAATCTCTAATATTTGAGTTAATCAATCTTTGAGTGTTGGCAGTCGCACACTTATTAAATAAGCAACAAATTGTTGAGTTCTTAGAAAGTTTATTGGAATCCCTATTCTGTTTATGATTGCGTGGCGAATCCTTTCCGTGCGTGCGTACGAGTTCTCTACGTCAATAGTTCAGAACTGGTGATCAAATAAGTTAGTGCCGTACCATTTCACAAACATGCAAAATGTTCGATTTGATTGCCATAATGTTTATAACTCATTACATGTTACAGTCGAAGTTGAAGCCAACAAGAATTTTAGTTGTTTTAGGTTCTTTATATTTGGGATTTAAAGAATGTTAATAGTCAATGAATATCAGTGTTTTGCTCTTTTAAGGGTAAAAACAATAGACTGAATTACGACCACTTTGTGTTACTACGGCACATGTATGAAAGAAAAAATTGTTACTTCTTTAATGTATTTTGTTTTTTTTTTCGTATGTGTAATCTTTTATCTCTTTTTATTGTGTATGTTTGTTGTTGTGTGCTATAATTAAGGCATATAAATTATATAAATAGTAAACTACGCACTAGAAACCTCCCATGCGTTTGTTGCGAGCGTTCATGGGCCTAGTGGATTATCAGCACGTTTACGTCTTTATCAATAAAAAAAAATTGTCGTAAAAATATCTTAAATTGGTCTTAATAAATAAGTCGCACAACAGTCAATAGAGGAGCGATTACTAAAGCGGGTTCCGCGAAATCTAGGGGTTCAGGAAAACAATCATCAGGGTTCCGTGGAATTATTTATACATACTTTATCACATTAAAAGTTAAAGGAAACTATAAAGTGCTATACTTTTAATATATTTCAAATAAAAGCTTTTGTTCTTATTTAAATTATTGTGTTTTTGATTTGTAATCATTTGATATGGGGTTCCATACAAAAAAATGGTATTTGTTGGGCGTTTCGGTTTCTTAAAAGTTTAGGAGACTCCTGCAATAGAGGATTTACAAGGTTCTGTTATCGGAATCTAGTCTGAAGAAACAAGCTGAAATGACAGTGGGTCGATCTTGTAATCCGAATCTTATAACCAATTGGGAGTAAGTTTTGTCAGTGGTAATCATATATAATGATACATTCAGCGTAAGGTCGTTACACAGAGAAATGGTATTGCAGCGAGTTGCTAGATGCTGAGACTTCAGGTACATCAGGGCCATCCATTGTGACGTCTATGGAAAATGGCATCCATGGGGCTTATGTTCATCATGATAGATTTAAATGTAACGTGTAGACTTAAGTCTCTATTGTTTCTATATGTTTTGTTAAAATGGCATTTTTTCTCGTTTACAGAGACCACCGTCATCGTCGTTGTCCTACGGCGGCGCGGTGAACGACGACGTGCGGTCCCCGGGCTCCGGGGGCACGCCCGGGCCCCTCAGCCAACCCCCGCCGCAGACACTCGACGCGACAGATCCAGGTAAGGTGCTTACACCCCATATAACCAACAACATTGACATCATTGTAAATTGTTTATTAAAAATAAATTTGAACCAGCCCCCCCCCCTCCCCCTCCACATCGTATCAGTGTCATTCGACTACAATTCTATTTTTTAATTGATTCTATTCTTATGTTTTTTGCAAGCGTTTAAATACCAATGCTAAAATAAATAATAAAATGTATCCCACAAAAATCTACTTTAATTGTGACAAAATCTTGTTATTTTGATATAAAAACTGAAGTACTAAACCGATTTTAACTAAATTTTTATGGGATTAATCTGTAACTATATCCTTTCAGATTAAAAAAAAGAATTTTTCAATTTAGAACTGACGGAGTTGTGAAGTAACAAATATATAAAAAAAATACAACCGATTTGAGAACTTCTTTTTGGAAACGATTGAAAAGTGTATTCGTTAATCGTAATCCCGAAAAACTGTCTGCATTTCATTTTTAGGTACACTACATCGCGCTAATTAGCTATTTGAAATAGATATTTTTACACCTTGAATTTTAAACACGGCCGGATATTAAAGAAATCAATTATTCAACATGTAGTGCAGTCGAGTTACAATAATATCCGACGATTATCAAGAGAAAATTTTAATTGCCACAATTTACTTTATGCATCGACCTCGATTTTTTTGATGCCAAAGGTCAAGACAGTGTTTGAAAACGTCATGTCATATCTCAATACTGACCTATCATTATTAGAAATGGCGTCTCGGCTTAGTTCTGGCGTACCTAACAATTAACATGTCCACACTCCGCACTCGGATCTAGATCCGACGTGATACGTCAACACCTTTTCAAGAGTCGATTCAATACTGACAGGCCGTCATCGTCACATCACTATCGCGTGTCACCTTCTTCTTCTACAAAGGTTCGAAAAATTTGAAAAAAGAACTCAGCACTCCGGCCGCCACCCGCGTTTGTCAACGTTCGGGAATCAGTCGTAGTGTCGTAATCACTCGTCACATCACTTCGACATGTTACGTTCTGAATCTCAATCGATTGTCATGTACGGCTCGCGGGGTAATGACGGATGAGTTGGTGTCGAGCGAGAAGTTACGACGTTTCGATTCCATCTCGATGGCGCGGACAATAGGTATTGAAATGAGGCGGACGGAACGACAGGGCTGTGAGCCTGTGATGCATGTATCGGCATCGCATCTTGGACGATTATCGCTTTCATATTCGTATGCGCTTGGTAATTTGTGTGGGATTACATTGTGTATTATTCAAATTGGCCTTTTCATATAATCCACAAAGACCCGCTTGAATTTAGACGGTTCAGTTCCTAATCAGTATGGCACTGCGGGCGAGCTAGGTGTGACTTTACAAAAGACGCGGCCGTTCGCGTGGTTTTTGACAGCTGTCAAGAATGGCCAACGCGTTGGCGCGAAAAACTAACAATGCGTCATGTGGAGTGTTTTTTGAACATTTCCGCGTAGTTCGGTAGAAAAATTATGCTTTCGACACGCGTTTTTGTAATTGTTTGGTTTATGACACGGTTTTGTCGGCGCGGACGTTAGTGGAATGGTGACAAAATTGAATTTTGGCGAGCTGAGTAGTCTGTGGTTTCCAAACTGTAGTAAACAAGCAATTAATTCAGAAATGAATATTAATTATTCCCTTGCTTATACAATATTTGACGTTTTTCAGATCTATGCAGTTTTTTATTTTATTTTATGTCATTGTTTTGACATTGGAATAGTGGCAAATATAAAGATATAGTTTTATAGCGCGGGCGCCATTTCAGTACAGTTCAGTATAAAAAATCTTTGTCATATTTTGCATTAATATATAAATGTTATGAAAACTATTTCTCCTATGTTTTTATTAATGGGTCTACTAGATTTATGACTATGGATGTTTCTACAGTAGGAATTTATTTTTTACATAATACTAAGCTATTATAATATAATAAATAAATTTGAAAAATTCGGGTAATAACGACAGAAATGTGGTAATGGATCTAGAGATTTACTCACAACTTCTAACACTTCTGTTCTCGTGTAATTCATATTCTATACGACCTATGAAGTCACATAATCATTATATTACTTCATCAAAGTAATTAAGTACATATATCAACTGGAATTAGTCTAAAAACAGAAGTGGTACACTTGACCCCGCGTTCCCATAAAGGGCTAACTGGCTGACTCTTGTGAATTATTCAAAATTCAAAATTTCCCTATAATTCAATCATGTCCCGCACCCCGCCCGGCCCCACGCCCCCCACCTCCCCGGGGAGGGGGCCCGCCGCGATTATTTGCGAATTTAATATTAATTAAGCATAGCGCTCGCGCGGTAATTGCGTTTTTCAATTATAACTGACAATTATGCGATGAAATTTGGATGAGCCGAGATGATTCGGCTAATTGTCAATCGTGAGTGCTCCGGTGCTGTTTTGTGCGTCGCCATTTTTAATTCTCCCGCCGTAAATTGAATTTCGAAGTGAAAGTTTTATTCGAAAAAGTTCAATTTTGAGCATGTACAAATAAATTTGTGGATTTTTGTATTCAAATTTTTAAATGCTAACATCTCGGCATATTTTATAGGTTTCGAACAGGATAGATACATGATATAGGTAATTTTTTTTATGCAATTTAAAATGGCTAACAAGCTGACGGTTCATCTTATGGAAAGTGGTAACCGTCGCCTATAGACAAGAGCAGTACCGTGGACATAACAGAGTATACTGTTTCGCCAATGATACTCCCCATGCGTTGCCATTCCTGAGGACTCAGGTGTTATTCCTTTGTTTCCTGTAAATTCACTGCCATATCCCATCCATATCACCACATCATAGGTAGAAACACGAATAAAACAGAGGTGTTCAAGCAAACGACTTTTGTACAAAGTCTCCCTCTGGTAAAATATACTCGAGTAATGAGAATGTCTGTTTGTTTGGCTTTGGGTGTCTTATTACAATTTATTATTTAAAAAAAAAAATTGTAATAATTGTCTAATATTGAGAGTACAAGCTTGAGTTAGTAGTTAGAGGGTCTAGACGGCTCTACATTAACTAACATATTACGTTTTACGTGATACGTAATCCGAAAACTTCTGAATTCCTAGTAACACCGCTCAAAATGGCGCCCATTAAAAACGCATTATTAATACGTAACCTAAAACGTTAGGTGTAATTCGTACAAAATATGACGATTATTGTGTTACAACCCCCAAAGGTTGGGGTGAGTGGGAATTCTAAATAAAATTATCTCGCCCCGAACTTGTTGGGCTCCATTTTCGTCGGCCCCCATTGAGTTCTCGTCTCGTCAAGGCAGTTTGTTTGATTCTGGTCACGGCGCGGATAACCGCTGATGGTCAGAAGTGTTTTGAATTCCGTCCACTGTGGCACGTCCATCCGGGTCGTTTAATTTGTATCTAGTATTTTGAGACAATACGAGGTTTTAAGCTTCCAAATGGACGCACTCAATTCGCTTGTAACTACATTATGTATGTTACTCGATATCTTTTTTTCCGATTTTGGACTCATTTTTTTTGGAACTTTCTATTAGTCACAAAAGAATTATCAAAATCAGTTTATTTCTATTGTTATTAAGGATATTTGTATCTATACCGAGGCTTACCGAAGTTTCATAATGTCGAAATGATCTATCTGGCAATTTTGAAAAACAATTTTCAGTTTGGTAACAAAAATCTATGCAATTTCTAATATCTCCGTCTTTACTGAATCATTTTATAGTTTTATAGGCAATTTTAATTGCTTACATTCAATTTCACTGGTTAGTTCCTTAGAATTATTTTGTTTAATTCGACTATCATTAGTATGTGTGCGACTGCCAACACTCGAAAATTGTTTCTGTTATTATTACCAGAAGTTTTTTAACCTTCTATCATCATTTCAGCCGTTTTCCGTCCACTGCTGTACATAAATGTCCACCATAAACTGCCATAAAAAACGATCCTGAGCCACATGCATCCACTGACTCCCTGCAATGCATTTTAGGTTGTTACCTACGCCACTCAAGACCAGCCTATTTCCACTTTAGCCTGCTTATCTTTCCATATTAGCCATCAATCTCCAACCGCCGTTTCGTCCATGCACGTTTTGCAAAAATTAAAGTAAAATATTTACATCAAATTTTTATGTCTACTTAATACTTAACAAGGAACAAGCTAGCGACTTTTCAGCCTTTTTCTTTCGAATCTTGAAGAACATTGTGATCATTACCGAGAGTGCAAATTCGCCACACGGCTACCCGGTCCTCCTTCTCGTACCTTCGTACCTACTCCAGGTAGCCAATAATTCAAATTTTCCATTTCCAAATGAGCAAAAGCCATCAACCAATCATAATACGGAGAAAATTGTGTAACGGGAATCTATCACGAATGAAAACCACGCCCAAGGGGAAGTTGCGCCCCTGACTAATCTAATATTAAACACATTCTGATATTAGATACAAAGTGAGCATTCACAGAATTTAATAATCCCGCTCCCACACCTATATCTCTGTCCCTATCACACCAATACATCCGTCTCGCTGTAACATGAATTATTAACAACAATTTTATGATTACATTTAGCACTGAGTGTAAGTGCGGGCGCGACGTGATACGAAAGCCGAATGGCCGGTGAAAAATGGCGGGAAATCGTTGCCAGTTAATATTTTATTGGTTTCGATAGGTTTGAGTTATGTAAGTCTGCTGGGGTCCCGGTAATTTTCAATTTTGTGCCTGAAATATTGATAAGGCCCGAGTGGTCCCTCGGGATAGGTTTATTGGCTCAGTACAGACATTTGTTGGACTGGAGCCGACCGCCAAACTATAAACTATTGCTGCACACGAACACTTCATTAATAACTCCACCGGTTCAAGGGTTGCCATATAAAAACTTGATGAAGAGGAAGTAATTTCATTTTTAACACCACACTCGGTAATCTATATTGCTTAAAGAGGATCTGTTACATTAAGGTTACATCGCTGTCGCTACTCGCTGAGAACTTTAC